GCTATATACAGTATGTCCAACAGCTCAGAGGAAAAGAGCATTTTCCCTGCCTGGTTCAGTGTAGCTCTTTGACTGCAGTTTTGAACTTGGCTATCCTGTCTCCCGACAAACACAAGCTCCCCTACAATTCCTGGGATTTCTACAGGTACCAGGGGAGACAACAGACCCCCACATGGCGGTGCAGATGCAGCATGTAGACTTAAGTTCCTCTGAGGGCTTGAGGTAGCCCTGAGGTTTTCTTTTCTACTACAAACTGCATACCTGGCATGACTGCTCAGTCTGTCAGGACCGCAGGTCTCAGATGCCTAAAGGTGTTACATCGATTTACAACACAAAGCTGATGAAAAGGTTACCTGGGGGCTGTCTTAGCTGTCTGATTCCAGGCTCTGTTGTGAGAGTGAGGCCTAACCTGATACTTAGCTCTTCTTTTCACTGAGCTGCAATTCACAACACCAAAGCAGCACAGAGGCAGGGACACTCAATATTCTGCTGTACTGTCTTTAGGGGATTTGGAGTAATCTCATTACTTGCAGGGGCGCCTTCAGGATTAAAAGTCAGCTTGTCACATTTCGGTTTGTTTTGTGTTTGTTTAAAGTCTTGGTAGAATATTATGACAGCTCTGAATGAGGGGGAGTTGTGAGGGGCGGTGGGGGGGTGGGAGGGAGTACAAACTCGTTTAGTGTCTTCAGCGCAACTGACATTTCAGCAAAAATGTTTGACATTTATCAAAACTACCATTACCTCAGTTCTGAGAGAAGACAGCATTGGTTCTACTCAAGAACTCCTAATATATTGGTTTACATGATAAAAAAGTCACTGTAAAATTGCAGCAGCGTGCATGTATATTGTTAAAATAGTTCAGGTGGCCAGCTGCTTCAGCATGCATAGGCTACAAAGGAGTCATAGGTTTATTCCCTGCTGAAAAGAGAAGAAAGAAAACACAACGTTTCGGCTGTGGAGTCTTCTTCGGGTGTAAGGGTGTATTCCTCGGGTGTATTCTTACAGTCATTTTATTATTTTTTGTGTGTAATAAAAGGGCCACTGTCAGTGTGTGTGGCCAAGCCTTTATGATGTGTTTATCTAGCGCTACCAAATAGCTACAGAGTTTAACCTCGGCTTCCAATCCTTCATTTCTGTTGATTTAGCATCCTCTCTTTTATTGCCATCAGGGTAAAATATTACCGCACATTCTTTCAGATCCCCCTTCTTCTCCTACACTCTGGCTGGTTTTTAATTTTGCATTCGCTGCATACACCCAGGGCTCTTTAGTAACATCATGAAGGTAAACACAGTTCCAATGCCCCATTCCCTGAGCAAGCCCCCATGAGGGGGATGAAAAATGTAAAGGAAAAATCAGATGTTTAATGGGCTTCAATTGAAAATGTTATAAATTTTGCAGAGGTCAGTGAAGCAACCCCCTGCATGTTAAAAGTGTTTACACAGGGCCGTGCTATAAATAATACTGCAGATAAGAAACAAAACCCGACAGAACATTCGTCTGGGGCTAGTGAAGCACTGTCTGCCTGACAGCACGGATCCTTTCAGTGGGCTTAGAAAAGAGGAACACCGAATTTACCTGGGTCAGTTCACACTGAATGACCACAAAAGACAGAGTGGGAGCCCAGAGTTTGAATGCAGCACAGCTGCTGCTGTATGGCAGCACTTTAAAGGTTTGGAAGTCCTGGAGACTGAGAAAGACTCTTGAGCTGAGAAGCTCCAGTTGAGCTTATCAACACATGAGCCATCTCCTCTCTGGGACAATTTGCTCATTAATTAGGAAAGTTACTGTGTGCTGAAGATAAGACGAGGTCATTCACAAAGGCTGGGAACAGCTTTGATGACAATATTTATTCATGAGAGGTTTCATCCCATTATTAATGCAAACTCACAGGCCCACACACAGACATTCTCACACATTCACACCAATTACATGTTTAGAACGGGACACTTATGTTCTATTTTTCTTCAAGTTTAGATGTAGTAAATTTCATTTGATAAGATCACTTTATTGGCCATATACAATTTCTTGCATTAGGAATTTGTCTTTTCGCATACCCCAACTTGCTCTCCATGAGACACAGACACACAGACAGGGAAAGAGGCTTGGGGTCAGAGCGCAGGGTCAGCAATTTATACAGTACCCCTGGAGCAGTTGGGGTTATGGGCCTTGCTCAGGGGCCCAGTGGAGTAGGATTTGTGATTGTCATGTGAATGATTTTTACTTCCGTACTTTTGCTTTTTCCTCAATGATTTGTAGGGTTAAAAAAAGTTTGCTTATTATTGTTTCATTACATTAAAACGGATGTCTCTAAAACAAAATAAAAAAAACATAAAGGTAATCTTAGACAAATGGAGCAAATCAAATGCCTTACATATCTCAGTGTTGTTGTTGATTTTTAAATATTTTACCTCCCCCATGTATAAAAACTACATTATCCAACTTTCAGATTATTGTGTGCTCACTTTCAAAGACAAAAACCAGATAAAAGTGCAAAAGAAAAGACTTCAAAGAGCAGGTACTTTCCTTTATCTAAGAACCTTTCACAGCCCTGTCCATCATGAGCAGGGTAAATGCCCTGTATGAAGTAAATGCTTTCTGCCTTTGTCTGAGCCCTCATTGAAAGGCAGCCACCCTGAATCCTGCATGCCTGCAGTCCTGTTCCAAAACAGCAGGTGTGAAGAAGTAGACACAGTGTTATGCACTTGGTGTGAAGTCCAATGGGGACCAGTTTGGGGGTAGTTCTCATTCTCTCAATGAGTTTATATCTGTAGAGTCTTAATCTCAATTTATCACATCTTGCACCCGGGCCAAGCTTGAGCAACAATATGGGCCTTCTTACAACTGCCCCCATAAGTCTCGTTCGTGTTTTTGTCAGGGAAACGCTTTGGGAGAAGGGCGTATCCTTGCACACTTCATGAAGAAGAGCTATGCAAGAGGATACTGCTACAATGTAATACATCTGCAGCCAGAAGATCAGGGGAGCAGCAGAAACGGAAACAGCAATGCACACACAATGGCCTAAGAGTGGCAGTTCACAGAAAAACAAGCTCTTGGCTTCCAGTCAATTGGGAGATTTTCCATGAAGTAAAAAAAAGAATGGTTCATTTCCTCAGTAGTATTCTATTCAGGTACCTCTGTTAACTATGGAGAACAAGGAGTTAGATTATTTAGATTATTAGTTAGATTATGGTGTCCACATGTATTTCAAAGCACACTGTAAGGTATTAAGACCACTGGAAGGCTGGTGCTGATTGCCATTCTCCTGTTTACTAGTGTATTTAAACAGACATCTGAAGCTTTGTCACGGGCACACCTCAAAGCACACAAGCCCCATGGCGCAGAGAAGGATCAGACACTGACCTGATACACTTCAAGACAAGGCCCCTTGCAGTGAAGATCAGAATTAAATTGGATCTTGAGCTACCCTAGGGAGTGATGTCATGTCACCTTATTAGGGCCCAGGAAATGATGTCACCACATTACACTCTTTTTTTTAGAGTGTAAAGCTAAAATTTGAAGTGCATATGCCAAATAAAGTAAAAAATGACCAGAAGTAAAATCTCAACAGTTTGGGGTGTATATTTTTAAAAATTGACACAAATAAACAGAAAACATACACTATCTGCTCATAATATCCTTTTTAGGACACTTCAGACTGGTGCCAGGATTAGATGATGGAATCAAAAAAGGTTTTGAAGATCTGCAGACAAGCCACACATCATATGATATATATTGAAATGAATCAAACAAATTGTGGGAAAACATTGTTAAATGGTTTTGAGATTCTTGGATCAATTAGCTACTAGCAACCAAATCAGCTGGATGGGCTGAACGCCTTCCTCTTGTTTGTGTTCTGAAGCTCCACATAAACTGCAAAGAATTCCTTAATTCAAAGCAAAGCATCAACTTTATGACCCTTTTGTTTCTTAATGAAATCTTGGAACCAATGTGCAGTCATGATGTAACTGCCTTGTTTCTTATGATTCTTATAAACAAGAACAAATATTTCTGTTGTTTTCCATTTGCCTCACACCAGTGATGTAACCCACGTGTGTTGCGATTTAAGCATGCAATACCTTTAACTCTGGAGCAGAGATTACTATCTCACCTTGAAAGCTCCAAAACAATAACCCACTCCCCATGCTTTTGTTCCAAGCTTTAGCTTTAGAGAAATACAGAACCACAAACGGATGCACTTATACACTTACGAGAAGAGCTTAATCCTTCAGTAGCTGCTGGTTGGTGAATGCCTATTGGATGGTATTTGATTCATAAAGGTAGTAAAAAAAGAGAGCATGCCCAGGTGACCACAGGTATTTTTCTCTGTGATTCTGCACCCCCTAGGTGATGCCAAGTAAATAGGTCTGAAAGAGATGAAAACATGAACCACTACCACAGAAGCCTGTGGAAGGAGTGTATTTTTCCTTCTTCCTTAAGCATCAGTTTTTTTTAATTATCCAATTAAATAATGGTGAATAATGCATAAATATATGACAGACTGGTGTTTTGGACTGCCTTAATGAAGGCAAGCATGTCTCCTTACAAAAGAGTCATGCATAAACATAACTCGCTAATTGAACTCGGAGGTAACCGGTTTCTTCATTAGGAAACCAGAAGCAATACCACAAATAAACACTGGAGGGATTTGCTTATGATGATAATTTTATGCCTGTCTGATGCACTTTTCAATTAATAAAGCCCCCCAAACAAAAGAAAACAAAATATTAAAAAGAACAATGAGAATGTTTGCTGCCAAGATTTTATGTACAGTTTGGAACCTTGACATTGTACAATTCGAGCTCTGTTATGGCTCAATGCTTTTTTTTTAGAGTGGAAAGCTGAAATTTGAAATGCATATCATGCTTTTAGACGATCAAGTGAAAGAGTTGCATGGAGTCATTTACAGCATGTAAATAGTTTCAAATTTGGTTTTGTGGACACATCTAGGTAACAAAGAGCTAACAGCCCCCTAATGCTTTTGCCTTCTCTCTTCACACAGCCTGCAACTGTAACCTCCACGCACGAAGGTGCCGGTTCAACATGGAGCTCTACAAGTTGTCAGGACGGAAGAGTGGGGGCGTCTGCTTGAACTGCCGCCACAACACCGCTGGGCGGCATTGCCACTACTGCAAGGAGGGATACTACCGCGACATGTCCAAGCCTATCACACACAGGAAGGCCTGCAAAGGTATGTCTGCCCTGCTCTTCCAGACTGGTAAGCAGCAGATGTTTCATCCTCATAAATACCACTGGGATCATTCACAATGTCCCCATGGCAAGTCCAAGGAGCTGGTACAGTTTTTCTGTGCATTTGTTTGCCTTGACCCATGTTGAGGTGCATTAAGCTTGGGTCAAGGGCAGCAAACGCAAACAAGAAAATATAGAACTGTCCTATTTCTTTTACATTCCTTTACACACACTTTGCCGCTAAAAGCACAACACCTCAATACTTACACACATCTCAAGTCTACTCGCTGCCCGGTTAAAGAAGGGACTGTAAAACTCCTTATTGGGAACAAACTGCTAATTCAAGAGGAGATTCCGTCACATAGAAAGACGATGCTGTCCCATGATTTACAAACACCTTTTTTTTGGATGACTTAACACAGGGTGGGGGAAATAAAATGAGGGGAAAGGAAGAAAAAAAAAACAGCCTGTGAAACCTGAAGTTATTCCTGGGCTCATTCCTGACCCCCCACTCCCCCGCCCGTGTCACTCACATGGGACTTGTCAGAGCACAGAATGATTCAGGAATGATCTGACGGGACAAGCAAAACAAACAGTGCTGAGGTGTGAACTGATTGCCGTGCAGGTCAGGCCGCTGAATGGAAAGGGGGAAAGATCAAACCCCTTGACAGCATCCCCTCCACAGGTGTTTCTGCGCCCAGGCAGGCGGGGAGGGCACATTCACCCTGGGATTAGCTCAAACAGTAACAAAAGGTATCCTTTTCTGTTCGGGCCCTGAAACCGCCAGAGCTCAGGCGTAGATAAGGGAAGCTAAATCTTTGGGCAAATATGTGCTCTACACCTTGATGGTACTGAAGCCATCCCTTGTTCTGCTCACATTCTTAGGTTTCTTTCTTTTGAAGGTCGGCGAGAAAGCAAAATATTTACTCAGCCTGTGAAAATTAAAGTTGTAGATTCCTGAAAAAGTGAAGAAAAGTACCCTGACACACCTCCTTTGAGAAATGTGTGTCTGATTTTTCTTTTATTCTCCGGTCTATCACTGACTCATAAGCCTGCTAGATCTTTGGGGAATTATGCTGAGGAAGGCAGACGCACAATTTGTTTGGAGAAAGCTCGATTCTATTTTCTGAGCAACTACAAGATTAGAGGCCACCAAAGTATATTTCCCCTGTTGGTGTTTTATATGATGGAGAAAGTCAGCCACCCAGTTAGAAATATTAGACATTGCTAAAATGCTGAGAATATATATATATATCAAAAAAGGATATAAAGGCCAAGTCCCAGGTTATTACTCAGTGAAACATTGGTTTATGATTTATATTTCTAGCTGAAATACACAGATAAATATCCTGAGAAATATAAGCTATAACTGTGAAAAGGGGAATTGATGTCAACTTAAGAGTTTTGACAGAAAAAAGAAAGGTTACCAACAAGGGTGTTTTGAGCTGTGTTTTGGGAATTCAGGAGTAGTGGGTGCACTGAGTTAAATACTGCCGTACACATTGAAAGTAGATAATGGATTAAAGCTGATTTCTCAAGAAGACCACCAACAGAAAAGAAAAGTTTCACAGAAACAGAAAATCAGATGTTTTCCTTTGTTTGGAAAGTGCGCATTTTCTAACAATCCAGCCACAAGCCAAAATTTAACAGCTAACATCAGTGGACATAGGGTTTTACTGTAACTCATTTGTGACCCATCGTCAACACCTCAGAGATGGGAGGTGGGACTTCTCATCCATCAATTAACAATCTTTTGCCTCATCTGTGACGTCCAGCACAGTGTGTGGAATCAATCTTTCCATCCCATTTCATACGCAAAAAGACTTGATTCTTTCAGTATTCATACCTCATTTGCATGGTTTTCCAAAGGAGTCAAGGTGCCTGGTGGTCAGTTGGTGTGAATGAATCACTCACTTAAACAGGGCAAATGGAGGGGATCTTTGCAATTAAAATGTTGAAAGGGGGTACAACAGAGAATACCTTGCAACTGAAAGATTTAAAAACATTAAAGTAGAATTGAACAGTTAATTACTCTGATCAGCTGAAGAAACAAACTGTTTTATTCATTTAAACCTTAAGTACAGCATGCAAACCATTACTTTTCAGTTATATATATTCTTCCACATTTAAAGCTTATGACATATAGCTTTTGTATGCAGTAATCAGAATAAGAGCAAAGCGACAGCTTAATGAGTCTTTCCAATTGTTCTACTCCAGTTTATGTAGCACATAAACTGGAGTAGAACAATTCATCTGCGTCTTTAATTCATCTCAATGAAGTTCAATTTTCTGTACTGTTTTGTAATGAATTTAAATGATTTGCCCTCCACTGAGATTTGGAAAATTGAACATAGTTTATGGTTTAAAAGCCTAAAGCTGTAAATCTGTTTGTAATAATTGGCATGAAAATTAAAGTGTAGTTTCATAAGTGCAAAGATTGCTTCTTTGTGTGTTAGGATTTCAAAAGAAGGCTTGCCCTGAGAAATCGAAATTGGAATAATATTTAACAAGCTTTGAGTTTTTTAGTTAGTTTAAATGTGACTGAAACGAACACAGAGAAATGACTGTCAGTTGATCACCACCTGCACGTATCTTTGTCTGATATTACCTATCTTTTCTTCTGTTATGTCTATGAATGCTTTGTGAAAACGGACTCTCTCTGACTCAGCATTAGAACTGATGTTCTTTGAAACTGACAGTTTTCATTATGTACAGAAATAGGTGAAGACTCTCATAATAGTAAAAAAACTAACAAAGAAACTAATTACTCAATATAAATACTTCTTTTTTAATCCAACTGGAGTTACAGTTATATTATGAATGGTCCCACCCCTTTTTAACACCCCAAACTTTCAGCTTTTGTCTCCTTTATAAAAGTTTCTGTTTTAACTTTTGTTATTGTTGTGGTATTTATATGAAGAAATTAAATTCACAAGCATCATCAATTCATTTATATGTTTGTTCAGTCTATATAATAGCCTGATGAGACTGAGGGCTATTACAGAGAACATTTTATTACATCTACTTGTATGTGAATAGCCATTCAGGAAAGGAAGGCACTTGTTGCCGTTTTCATACTGTTCCACTAGTTAAGCTGTTGCCAGTTAAAGGAAGAAATCTTGGAAAAAACACTAAGCACATTCATGGCAAAATAATGCCAAATCCTCTTTCCAGCATGTGGTCACCAATCACGTTGGTCTGACATACATTCTGCATTTCTCCTCATGTAACTTACAAAACTCAGGGCTTTACTCCTGAGGTTAGAAGTCAGGTCTAGGCATAAAGTTTCCCTTGTGGCTCAATCCCTTGCATGTCACCGAGCAATTAGGTATCAAAAATGGAAAATAATTGGGGCTTTCCTGTGCAACTGGGACTTCCTTCTTTTCTGATTCAGTCTGTCTCTTTAGAATCCCGTGTTACTTCACACTAAATTAAAGTCTAAACACATTTCATCATAATTTATAAAACCAGCAGCTTACCTAAGCAGTTTGTGTAAAATCTAATCCTGAAATTTGCCAGAGTTAAAACCCTAATGTAATTATAAGCAAACATGTCCAAGTTATTCTATAGTATTCAATTACAGAAAAACAGAACTACAATAAAGAATGCATTGGTATTACCTAAAGGTGACAAATGATACAAAGCATGAATCCATTTTCTGCTTTCTTGCCAAATATAACATTGTTCAGAACTATATTTGGAATACTGTAAGAGCAATGAATAAAGATGTAAGCCTATCTTAATATTATAAGACTTTGTCCCCATTCAATGAAATTATCACAGGAATTTTGAAAAACCTTCTCATGCAACAGGACTGTAAATTGAAACTTTTCTAAATGTATACTCTGATACATATAAGCTAACACATGTTATAATTCAGTTTCAGACATGACAGTAATTAACAGAAAATACTCTGTTCAAGTCACGTGTTCTATCAAGTGTTTTAATGTGTAGACGAACCCGGCTCAGCTCCTTTGAGTTTGTCTCCATGTGGTTTTGTGAGAGAAGAAAGGCAGCAAGGATAGAGGAGAAAGAAAAATAGGGGCTGTCTTTATTCAAGGAACAGAACCAACACAATTGCTTTCAATTTCAGAACAGCATAAAGACTATTGTTGCGAATTTTAAAGTAACCTACAATGAGAAACTCGAGCGTCTCGGGGGGTAGGGTGGAATGCTTTTATATAGCGTTTCCTAAATTTACTGCTTCGTCCCTCATCAGCTACAGCATAAACATTGATTATGGCATGCAGAACTCTTTAAAACAATCTCTTTCATTTCTCTCTCTCTGAGTCTACTCCTTCGTAAGCCAAGGATCTCAGAAGCTTGGGAGCAATTTTTATCAAAAATATTCTTCTCCGCCGAACAGAACCCAGATCTACTGATGTATTTTTCACAGTTCAAGTACAGCCAGTCAGATAGACAGACAGACAGATAGGTTTTGGGCACGAGGAAGATGAACATTGTTATTTGTTCTCCCAGTAAAGCTCCAGTGTGAGAGGTATTATGTAACTATTAATTGAGAGAAAACGAGGATGGGGAGGTGAGCGAAGCGTTTTGAGGTTTGGGGGAGAAGGGGCTGTGGGGGAGAATGGAAGAGTAGAGTTCTGAAGGGGTGGGTCAGCAGCTGCCACCCTCTCCTGTCAGTCCTGGGAGCAAACAAGCTTCTGTTCCTTCAGCACGGTGTGAAGACAGTGGACATTTGAATTAAAACTTTAATTAAAACTGGGTAAATCGGTTCAGGGAATGGATGGAAGGATGGATGGTATTGTACCCCAAACTTCCAATTGTCAACTGGCCCCACATACCCGTATCCCAGAACACCCTCTTTCTGGCATGGTGATACAGGCATGCTCCTCGTTAGACTCACCGTCACTGGGGTGAGCAAGCAGGGGCCTGAGCACAAGTCATTAGGGCCACACGAGACCGCTCGCTCTGCACTTTAATAGGTAATTAATAAAGCCTTTTAGGGGTAGTGGGGACTCCTGTCCACCACCACCGATGTGCAGCCCCACCCTGGATGATGCAATGGCAGCCAGAGTGCACCAGTACTCTCCCCACACACCAGCTCTCAGTGGGGAGAAGAGCAGAGTAATGAAGCCAGTTTAGAGATGGGGATTAATAGGAGGCCATGATGAGTAGACATCACTATACTGGGGCATTAGGACCCACACAGACTGCAGGGTGAGCGCCCCCTACTGGCCCCACTAACACCTCTCCAACCAGCAGCCCTAGTTTTTCTCCCATCCAGGTACTGGCCAGGCTTACACCTGCTGAACTTTAGTGGGCTGCCAGTTGTGAGTTGCAGGGTGATATAGATGCTGGCACTTTGATCATGGGAGCAGAAAAACCGTGCTTATTGGAAGACATATGATGTATTTCAACCATTTAACCTAAATAAACATATCAGCTGCTCTTCTGCAGAATTGATCCTTTGGTTAAGTCTCATATAAAAGTTATTTTCCCCTGGCCTTTTTAATAGGCATCTCACTCCCAGCCTGTGCTAGAATGTAATTTGTTTTCACTTTAATAGACAATCCTTCAGAAATAAAAATGTAAAAAGCAGAAATAAGACATCTGCTACAAACGCACAAGCTATTTTACTCAAGTTGCATGTTTAATAGATTGCTTACACTTCTTCAAGTGCATATGTCTTACATTGTCACAGTAGGACTTTATTAACCACAAATAACATATTCTGGTTAGGCCTTCAAATCTTTGTTGTTTTAATGACTTCACTGTTTGTGTTTTTGATTTTCAGAAAGCATGTCTTTATATGGCTGTTTTCAATTTAGCATGACGCAGATTTTTTACATTATTTGCCTAAATGCCTATTACACGTATGAGAAGCAAAAAAAAATCCCTATTTGCAGATGAAAAGGTCTTCTTGGGAATACTGCAGGGAGATCTAACAAAGGGCTTTCTCTTTGCATGCCACTGTAAAAAAAACCCTTTTGTTTTAAAATTAATACAAAGAACAAGGACAGAAAGAAAAGAATGTTCAATAACTAAAAAAGGTGAGAAGGAACAGCTTGTTTATTTTTCCAGATGTGACAGTCACGTCAAAATGTAATTCAGACTGTCCCAAAGCCCAGCAGAAACCCAGTGAAAATTGTGTTCTGCAACACAGAACTTTGGACGACTTGGAACGTTTTCAAGAGCCAAACAAATTATTCGACTGGCAAAAGAATCACAAAGTCCTAATGGGGGAGCTGGGTTCAAACTTCAAACGCAAGCCTTACAGAAAACTTTTGGCAGAAATAATAAAAAAAGAAATTGTCACATTTAATGTGCAAAAACATCACTACAAACAGCTAAAACCAATTTCTTTTAAATCTGTTCCACAGTCCTGTGTAGAAATATTATTCAGTCTTTGTCTGACAGTCCTTCTGCCAAGATGTTTAAATTTTATAACTAAATATGTACTGTTCAGCTCTTCTACTGGGGCAAATCCAAAAAATCACAGCGTGGGAGAGCAAATACACATATCTGTGAGTGCAGAACAAAGTCACCTTCAGAGTGACACTCTGAAATCGGACAATGCACAAATCGGCAATAAGCACACTGTGTTTACTGAAAAAGATTCTTCTTAAATTGATACTGAAGAGAGGTATAACCAACGCTACATGCAGGAAGTTTAAATCAAATATTGAAATCACCTGAAGGCTATCTGCCCAAGAACCACAGACAGTACAGGTTTCTTTTCATGCAACCAATGGCCTGTTGTGACGAGGTGAAGCAGAATGAGTTTGGCTGGCTCATATCTCCAGTCACCATCTAGTGTACACATGAAGAACAGCCACTTCAAAGTTAAGTGGACACCCACTTAAAATCTCCTTTGAGCCTAGGCCTCCGATCAACATCTAAACCTGTGTGCAGTTCAAGACCATGTGTTGGCCACGTTGATTTATTGGCAAGCTTAAAGCATCCAACACAGTTATTAGGCTGAGAGTCTTTATCAGTGCTTTCTTTCTGAAGTGTATTGTAGCCTACCTGACAGACCTTTAAAATGACACATTACCTTAAAGACTTACTCAAACGGCTACAATTAAGGCAGTACATGAACTCTAATGAGGCTTGAACCACAACCAGCCCTCCTGCACCTAAAGATAATAAAAGGGAGGAAATGCAAACAGCGACAGATTGGATAGATAAGCCATTAATGCCACACTCTTTAAGCAGGGCTGGTCAGGCTCAGAAGAGCTTAAAGGGCAACAGATAGCCCTCCACTGACAGAGGAGATCAAGGAAACTGAGAGAGAGTTCATGCGACTCAGTGTTTTCATAAACACCAAGGAAAAAGCCAAAAAGATGGGGCACCCTCATTATTCATGGCTCTGCATCCATTTCAAAGAATTACCTGCATGCATCATGCACTGCAAGCTTTGCTCCTGGCTGCAAAACAGCTACAGGAAGAGAAACATTTCATCTACAATTAGCGGTCCTATCACTTGGAGTCCTGGGTCATTCCGTGCTTGTTTCCGAGGCCAAGAAATGGACACTTGACCTTCTTCTCCGAGTCTGGGACACGTCACACTTTTGGCAACTTCCTATCTTATTTTACAACAAACTGCACAAACTGGATGGAAGAGATGGTGATGCATTTTTTCATTAAACGGGGAGGCCGGAAAGAGGAACTCTGTGATTTTTTTTATTATTAACCCTAACCCTAACCATCCACCAGCCCGAAGATATTTGACAAAAAAATAATTCCAAAATACATTTCTTAAATAAATTCAAGTAGGTGGCTGCATCAGCATGCGTAAGCTGCAAAGGAACAAGTAGAGATTTATTCCATGTGACGACGCATCAGAAGAAGGCTCTACAGACGAAACATTGCTTTTCTCCTCTTTTCAATTTTCTTCAATGTTCTTTGACAATTTTTAATGCACTGTTGAAACTAAGTGGCAGACAGAATTTATATATAAAGTACAGTTCAAACCTGAACAGAATCACATCTTAGCAGGAGTGCAGCTATATTTCTGTATATATTCATCCTACAGCACCACACCACAATGAGAACGAAACTGATATTCGTGTAATCAGTCTTTCAAGCTGCATAATTCTTTAATTATGTCATAAAGGGTTTAAAAGTGGCAAATGACAAAAAACAGACTACAGTCATTGGTCTGCAGGGTTTGTCCCATAAAGTTATTTTCTTGATAATACTGTCAGATGACGAAAATTTATAATGAATTTCTTTCAGAAGGAATAATTACTCCACCCTATGGTACACAGGTCTTTAACTCTGGCAAAACATCAGTGGGACTTTTTAAGATGCTCGGACTAAAACACGACAGAAGCAAGACAACTAAAAAATGAAACAGAAGTTATCTGTTGTTTTATTTTTCCCTTCACAGTTACTGTTTCTAATTAAAAGTGCGCTCTGCGTGTGACGAGTTCCCCCATTATTCTAATAAAGTCAGTCTGGGAACTGTAACCCGATGCAACCAGGGAAGTGTGAAGAAATGGTAGATTTTGCTTACGTGGTGGCCTAATTAACATCCACATACATTTGTAAAAGTAGTCATCTTAAATGTTGTTGACGAAAATGTCAGTTCTTTATTGTCGGTGTAGAAAAGTGTCAATACAATACTAGAGATCTGAACTGAGCCAGCAATCAAATGTGCTGAACTACATCGGTTGTAAGCAAGCACAAACGAGCATTTTTCTGTTGTTTTTGTTTCTGGTGTAAAATTGTACCTCCGATGAAAATAATATTTCTTTAAGGATCTCTGATATGACCTCCTTCAACAAATCATCTTCCACTTATTATGCCGTGACAAATTGCTCAGACTGTAGCACGAATTGCAAAACGAACTAGATTTTTTTAATGTTACAGTTACACAAGTCTATTGTATCTATTGTTTGTGTCTATTATTTAATCTACTTCAGTGAGGACACACTAATAGCTGAAGTAGATTAAAATAGAACAATTCACCTGTTGGGATTTTTTTTTTTGGAAGGGGGCGGGGGTTGGTGGGTTTCGTAGCGTCTTGCGTAGAAGTTCAACCATAAAAAAAGAAATGTTAGATGCTGTATTCATCTTGCCGAGTTATTGCTGCCTGCCGAGGTTCTGCACGGATCGAGCTGACTTTCCTGTAGTGCAGTAAGTAAGGCCAGACTGAGAGACAGTCCGGTCCTCTCTCCTGCCTCTGTTCCTTCACGTTACTGCTTGTCCGCTGCTGTCGTGTGTGTGTGTGTTGCTGGTAGGTGTTGTCCTATTTTATTTATTTTTTATGTTTCTCTCAACCTCTTCTCTTGTCTGTTCCTCACAGCATGCGATTGTCATCCCGTGGGGGCTGCTGGCAAAACCTGTAACCAAACCACTGGCCAGTGTCCCTGTAAAGACGGTGTGGCTGGCATCACGTGCAACCGATGCGCTAAAGGCTACCAGCAAAGTCGATCTCCCATTGCTCCCTGTATAAGTACGTTCAGCAGCCTTTCCTACAATTCAATACAGGTTATCTTAAATCATGTCTAATGCTCATTCACTATAGGAGAGGTGCAACGCAAAGGTGTGTTTCTTTCTTTCACCAAACTAGCATTTTGAAACAATTTACTATCCCGCTTCACGCTTGAAGAATGTTAACCATCCAGCTTTTTAATTAGTCTGGCGATCAACGACGTATTTGCTCCGGATATTTGAGCTCATGTTAATAAATAGCTCAAACCAAAGATAACGGGAGGAGGTTCGTTAACCCACACTGAAAAGACGGGAAAACGCAGCTGGTATTTTCTCTTTTTTGTTAAAAAAAGTCTAAAACAAGAGAAAAAAACTGTAAAACGACCCAGTCCAATACGATATATATATATATTTTTAAAACTCTTATTTGGGCTTTTTTCAAATGAAAATTTAATTAGGAAATGTAACAATATCATTCAATCAAAAAATCTTTTTATTTTAAGACATTTTTGGCACACAATCGCGAGGACAATATTAAACCTATAAACCCAATGGGTTCATATTTCCATCATTTTCCTAAGAGAACAATATATATAGGTGTTAAGAATAGAGATGTGACATTCTTGGTGATATATGAGACACACTTTTTCTCATATAGTTTTGAGATAATGCATTTTACTTTTTTAAAGCTTAATATTAAATATCAAACCCACGCCAAGTTAAATTTTAACAAGGATAGAGCTGTTCATCATAATTCTGGCTTAATGTACTGCAGTTAAGGAAAGTAATAAATCTAAAAGATGTGGTCCTGAGAAACAAGCTTATTATTTTGTCTGGCATAAAAACTATGAATTTTGATCTGCTATCAGAAATGTACTTGAACAGCACAGTGAGCCGTATGGCCTTATAATCAGGGCAGTCTGTTTTAAAATGATGTGCAGTTGATTCCTGTACCAAAATATTTATGAAACAGAAAGCAACAATTTAAAAAGTCAAGCACATCCATTCTTTTAAAGGAAGTTACAGTGCTGCTTTCTACTAAGTACCCTCATGCTTGCTTCAAATTGGTAAATCTCTTCTGACCTCATTCTGAGGTGCCTGTTGGTCGATTGTGGTCTCTTATTGGCCACCCATCATCTCTCCCAGCCAACTACCCTTTTATTGGGCATGACACTAGAGCCCTTGGGGTGAAGTACTGTATACTGCTCCTGGGCACAGCAGCTGCTGTGCTCAAATAATCCACACAGCTCAGAAGCACATGCATTTCTTGCGGTTTTCCCCAGTGGGCTCAGAGAGCATGGTTCTATCCTCATTAACGGGTCCCAGAGTCTGAAGACTGAGGTTCTGGTGAAGTTCTGGACCCAGTCTGGTCCTACAGTGGCCAGCTCTAGTTTTCAACCCTGGATAAGCAAGGACACCCACAGGTGTCCTCCTTGAGCCCTACAGACTGCCTGAGGGTAAAAGGTCATTTCTACTAATGGGGAGTCTCTGATGTGGTTTGTGTCTCCCCTCTGCTCATTATTATACACTGAGATATCATACTATATAGACATTCCACATTCAACCAGTACTGAAGCCCCAGTGGAAAATTTAATGAACACAACGAAACACAGAATCACAGAACAGGCATGATGTGTGAGCAGCAAATCAGAGATTTCAAAGTCCACCCCCTAAAGATGCCTTTTGTATCAGGTTTTCAAAGATGCATCTCTTACGTTACTGATTTTACAAAAAGCTCAAATCGAAAGGCAAAAATAACTCTAAGCTACTGATGAAAGTTAACATTGGATATGTAAGGAATAAAAAAAAAAGAAAATCACCTAGATTTATTTTTCAGCTGTAAGTGAAAATTGAAATTTGAGTTTTCTGAAATTGTGCCTCCAGATATCTGATTAAGCCAGTCCCATAAGAGCAAGATTTTTATCTTTTGGTATTTGCAGGCTCAACGTACGTCTCAAGACTTGATTCTTTCTTCTCTCCTTTCTGTTACTCTGACCTTTGCATGAGCTCGTAATCCCTGCTATGTCTTTTTTATTTATTTTTTCTATGTGGCTTAATTCCTCATTGTTTTGCAATGTCTTCTTTGTCACTCTGAACATTTTTGCAGACATCTCTAACAAAGGCAACGAGACAAATTTACTGTTGCCATCCTGTTCTTTTGGAGATAAAAGGCCTGCTCCATGCATGACTTCCCTCAGCGTCAACTTCCTGACACTGTGAATATGAGAAAGCTGAAGGACTCAAAGAATCAAGTCTTCGGGCAGAAACTCTGGGCCAATTTATTTGCATTTCTGTAGACATAACTAACAAGGCATCTGGAAGAGCAAAAGAGATTAACATCCAAGATAACCTACACAAGAAACCAAATCACTCCTCAGCTGACACCCACCTGTGCACAAGCACGTTCTTTATTGTCAGCCTTTTTTATTTATGTCTTCTTAATTTCCACAGATGATAAAGTGCATTACTGTCATAAATCAAAACAACCCATACCAATACACATTTGCTCTTAAAGCACTGTCCATTTAGAAAGATAGATACTTTATTAATCCCGTGAGGAAAATTACCAAGTGCAATTTCAATATGACAGATTTTTCTGTTCCTCCCACCCTCTCCACACATCTCTGGAGGACAGAAGACTGAAGGTCTCCAGTCCAGCTGCTTGGTCCGGCCGCCCAGCTCCTCTGCTGAGAGGATGATGCTAAGCTGTTTCACAACAAAGTATTGATTTCACTCGGGAGATTTGCATTAGATTTTGCAAAGGCACCCGACAAATTTATTTATTGAAAGCAGACATCCCCATCCAGTGCAATAAGCAATGGAATCTAAGAGCGACATTGCAGCTTGCAAAGGTCCCTAGAATAAACTGTAGACTCCTGCAGAAATGGGGCACAAGGCTGCCTGCACATTTATTGCGAAAACTGCAGCTTTCCTCTGCAAGAATGGTGTGACTCACGACGATCGGCTCTTACACCAGCAATCCACTCATAGCAAATGGCTGTCAAGATGCTTAACGTGAACTGTCTGATTCTGTTAAGAACATCATACAGAGCAGCTAAAAGAACAATGGGAAAATGAACCGAGATGTTATGGGTGTGTTCGTAAGACAAATACAGCACTGCTGAGAACTCGGATATCCAAAGAGGCTTTAAAAATCTACCACAGACTGTGTGAAATTGATGAAGGGCCACATCTGAATATTAATGATTCCTCCTTCGTCCTTTGACTTTCTGTTTTTGCTTTCTTGTCCCAAAATGTAGAAATTCCAGTCGCTCCACCGACAACCACAACCAGCAGCAGTGAGGAGCCTTCCGGTGAGTACGCAGTCTGGATCCTTTCACGTGTCGGGAACTGTGTGAAACAGGCGGGGGAAACATGGTTTAGCGGTGATTTCCTTTCCCAGAAGCAAGTGAAAGTGAAGTCTGTGCTTGAGCCATACAGCTCACAAGGCTGGAGTTTATCCTGGCCTCTGTGGTGTTTATCAGACTGACAGTATGTGACTGACATCTGGAGTACAATGCAGGTCCTGCACAGACCTGCTACTCGTCTCTACAGCTGGGGCGATGGTAGTAGTGCACTGTACTGTCCCTTTCCAGAGGATACAAAAGGTGTGCCACAGCAACTTGAGCCTGCAACCTTTCCATTAGAAGTCCCGAGCCCTGACCTAAGAGTTGCCGTAATGGTTTAAGATTTAGAAAACAGGTGAAGACAAAACTTCAGCGGAATGAATGGGTTCAGTGAAATTTTAAATGAGCATTCCACTGCATCACTGCAGGAGAGCGAGGAGGAACACAGCTCTTGACGTCAATTTCTACAAGGGCCGCTACCCATGCGATCTGTCTGCATTACACTAAACAGCCTATGTTCGTACTTCTGCTTCTATTATCAAGCCGTTTAAGTAAAATCACACGATAACAAAGTGAGAATTCCTTTTTGATTCACTGACTTTACCGAATTTATGGTGGTGACAAGCAGTCTGAATTTTCTGCCACCCCTTGGCTACTGCTGAGGAGACTCAGGAAGTCCAGACAGGAGGAAGTGGCCAGTTGGCACTGAGCTCGTTGCAAAACACCAGAGCTGTTCCAAAGATACTCGACATCCAAGAGCAATGATCTCACTCCCCGACAAGTGTCTCATAAATTATAAATCAATTATCCCAGGCCTTGGGTTGAGATTTCTTTAATCTTTTCTCTCATCCAATTAATCTGTCTAACTGAGTTGCAGTGGGGAGTGGGGAGCTCTCCACAGATTTTTTACATGTTTTGAGATGATTTTGTTTTTGTCTATTGTGGGATTTCAATTGTCGGATTCTGGCAGCTGTGGAACTGATGGAACAAGACAGAAAGGCTAATTATGTATTTTTCCCTCTTCCACCCACAAAGCAGAGTGTGTAGATGAGGTAGATTAGTCTTGTGTCTTTTATTTTTATTGTTAATACTACAAAGAACCAGAACTGGGCACGTGGTTTTTTTTCTGTAATCAAATTATTCAAGTAGTTTTTAAATTGATATTGGAGGAATGCAGGATCATGTGCTGTTTGTTGGATCCCTTACATAGACAATCAAAATAAAAAAGCTCAGAAAGGCTGTCAGACACTTTAAGTTAATGTAAAGGAATCAGGAATTAAAAACTAGTGCAATCCTGAGTCTTGTTCCGGGAGCACCAGATTCCAGTGACATTTTATTCTGAGGTTACTTAATCCCGTGTTACTCACAAATTTTGTACTCCTGATTATTTGATGGCGAAGCAGAAAGACACCAATAATTAGCACATCTGGAATCACCCCTTGGTTATTGGGGTAAAAGATGTGATTCAATTATGGTGTTGGTGTTTGTGATCGATATTGATGCTGTTGGCAGAACTGGAGGAGAAGGAGAAAGGAAAGGTTTTCTCTGCTGGTCCTGCAGTCCATACTGCTTCTCTGCTGGACACTCTCCTTTGTTTTCTTAACACCTTCCTCTCGTGCTCAAGAGTTAATGAGCCCCAGCAGGTGTGCACGCCTGACACGATTGCCCCTGATTAACTGCGGGGTCAGGGTAGGGCAGGGCAGGGCAAGGACCAAGAGAACAGAGCTCACCAGCACCAGCGAGTTACAAACGTCCCAGACAGACCTGATTTATTTTAACCTCAGAAACTAAACAAAAAGTATGCAATGTTATATTACATGTGAAACCAACAGAGTACTTACAAACAGTTCCAAGACTGTCACTTTCCTACACTATGGCTTGCGTTACAAGTAAGCAAGTAAAATAAATAAATTAGTGAAGGCGTATTTGTCACATTTGTTTTTTTGTTTCTTTACTATTTTCTTTTTATTGAAAAGTATATTCCAGAATACAGTGGGTGAATAAATTGACATTCAGCACATAAAGCCCAAATCCATTAGAGACTCTGCGACTGCCAGCATTTTCAAAATGAGTTTCTAAATGAGATAATGGCTAACTATAGCTTTTAATGTGTGATTGAAGTGGTTTTCTGTACTTTTCTTTCTGCTCTTGCTGCCTTTTGTACTGTTGTAAAATATACTACTGTTGTGAGGCATAATAATAATAATAATAATAATAATAATAATAATAATTCAATAATAAGACTCCATCCCCCAAAAAAGAACCATTATGGAAAATCTCTAAACCTACCAATCAGTCATCATCACTTGTCATATCATTCGATTGTTATACTGGAACCAGACTCATTTTTCACATGAAACTGAAAACCCCTCGTAAACTCCTCGAATTGCAGACCCCCCTTTAGTCACTGAAACATGCGAGGTAACTGTGCAGAACTTACAAAGACCCAGCGTTCAGCCTTAAATCCAGAAGCAGTCCCTACGCCCTGCTGTGAGTCCATGGTCAGTGTGACCCAATGCTGGGTGAGCCTTACGCTGAACCAGACCAACAAGTTTTTGCACCACCTCAGCGACCAATCAGCATGGCAATAATGCTTCGAGTGCAGGATGTCCACTTTGTTGTAGACTCATCAGCGATACCGCTCTGCACGGCAGGAGAGGGAAACCTTCTGGGAAAGAGTAAGAGATTGCTGTTTGGAGAACAAATGCTGTGACTGATGATCTCAAAACCCAAAATGGTCGGAGGTGAAATCCGGAAAATGTCAGCGCTCTCTATATAGGAAGCAGAGAGGCAATTGACAATTTCTCCATTGTCTTTGAAGGTGGGGGATGGGCAGAAATGCCACAGATTCTCCCAGTCTGAGGAATTCCAGGGTGCTGGAAACAAACGCAGCTGTTGAGAGAGTGTTGTGTGACAGGGGCTGAATGTGAGAACCTCCCAACACTATTAAGATGGATAGAGAGATCAGAGCAGCAGGGCTCGTCTTCTCCTTTCCTTCTTCTATGCATCCTTTCTTCGCATAAAGAAAAAAAGAAAAAAAAAACTCTCATCCTTTCCTTGATCCTGACTGCATTAGCACTGGCTGGTAGCGAACAGGAGCACAGGCAGTCCTTTTTCCTAGATTTTTTTAACTCTACAGAATATCTGTATAGAGGAGTGTTTTATTCCAAAGGAAATACACAATAACATGAATTACATGAAGTCTGGCTAAACACGGAAAGTAAGACACCATTATTTCAGCGTCATATTTGTGGTTTGGCATTCTCAAACGAGGTGATTTTAGATTGCTTTCCTACCCTACAAGCTGTAATGCATGCTCCCTGTGTTACGCTGTTAGTGAAACACTGCAGCTTTGATAAGAGAATTTGCAACTGACTCACTCTTATCTTAATAATATCTTAAAGCTGTGTAGTGCAGGCTATGATAGCGTTTAAAACTTGTCTTCAGAATTATTTCTGAAGACTTTATTTCTGAAGAAGCCATTGGCTTTTATAATAAGAAATAATGGCTTTTGAGTCACAGCATTGGAGGATCCAAAAGTTTGATAATAACCACATGTGTTATATGCCGACAAAAGATCACCTGCCTCTAATAAGTGTTCCCGGATTTCTGGAATATATCAAACCCAGCAACGCAATAAAAACAGCAATACAAACAATAATGAACAATATTAACATAAAACAATAAAATCATCACATAAAAATAACATAACAATCAGGAAGATTGTCTTAAAGAAGTCTTAAAGAAGTACTGTACATGAAGCATGATCTGGACAATTTACTTACTCAATGACTGATGGTTTATTTAAGATAGAATATAACGTGGAAAATATGGTCTGTTTTTTAATATGGCCCGTTTCTTTAATACAAACCTACTCTTTTAGGTTTTACATTTTACCAGGACATGGCACATGTTAGAAGCTAATTGGTTGCAGATTACTACATAGATCCAGCACTGCACAGTGTCAGGAGGGAATGGGCCTGTTCCCAATGTGTAACTTCTCTCTAGACTCACAAGTGAGATGAGATGAAGCAGCGTTCTTGACCACTGCAGGGTGATGTGAACTGGGCTGTAGGTGGTTGTCAGGCTGTGCCAGTAAACTGCTTAAGGAAACCCATTTCAGTGGTGTCACTCAATCCTTCTTTGCTATAGTGTACTTCTCAACAGTCTGCCATAGAGACCTTCACAGAACTACACAGATGATGACAGTATTGCACAGTGACAGCCGACCATGTGGTCACAAATCAAAAGCTCCCGTTTCTCCCAGTGGCAGAAGCAAAACCTTCAGGATCCCAGGCTCACTGAGTTTGTGTTGCATTAAAAAAAATAATTACAGCTTTTATTTATCAGGTACCTTTCCAAACCAAAGAGTGCTGTACATGATGCTAGAAAATAATGGAAAATAAATCAAATGGGAACAAACAATAAGACAATCAGACAAAGGCCCTAGTAAAAAGGCAAGTTGTAAGTTCAGATTTAAAAAACAAAACACTGCCTCTCGAAGAGTCGCAGGAAGGGCATTCTATAAAAACAGAGCAGCGACAGAAAACGCACAGCCACCAGCTGTCCGACATTCAGCCCCTGGTACACTGAACCAAGGGCCAGCTCCAGCTCCAGCTGAACGGAGCCTACAGGAAGGAGCGTATACATAAAGGAGTTCCAGTAGTTATGGTAAATCATGGCCAAAGACCATCATCCAACCTCAGATCGTCCTGAACACTTTCATCGGAGGAAATGTACACATGTTTAAAATGGAAATGGAAATATATTCAAATATGTCAAGCAATAATATAACATTGAATTTCACAATTCACGTTTTTTTAATAGCATTTTTACAAAACTGGAAAATAATTTTTGTGGTGATCAGTGTATTTATTGAATGCTGCAAATTCCATTCAATTCAACCATCAATTACCGTATCAACATTTTTTTTAAAAAGTTAGACCTGTGCTGGAAAGGCCTGGTAAAGTAGCCTTTGATAAAGTCGTAACTGGATATTTGTGGGTTTAAATCCCAGGTGAGACACTGCAGCTGTTCCCTTGAGCACAGAATTCCTCCAGCAAAATATCCAGTTGAATAAATGGTGCAACTGTAAATCACTCTGGATAAAAATGTCAGCCAGCTAAATGAGTAAAATTCGCAATAGACAAATCAGAAGAATGCCCTGCTCAGGACCACGTAGAAAAGTCCACTCAGACCACCCAGGCATGCAGCTTAACAGAGACATGATGTATTAAAAGACCATAGAACCCAGCTCTGGATAAATTGGTATTTGAAACAATATGATCTCATCAGATACCTAAATGCAAACAGATGTGATCTTATCAGGAGCCTTTTCTCCCTCCTCTGGGAGTGTAAGGAGCAGTGTGGAAGGGAAGCCCCAGCAGCCTGCTGGCAGGCGCGAGGCGCGGGGCCGCGGGGCGCGAGCTGGGGAGAGGGACATCTGTGCAGCAGGTGCCTCTTGCCGGGATATCCATTTGTCTTCGGCTCTTGGTCCCCGACCACATGGCGCGCGGAATGCGGCACAAATACCTCCACAGCACACAGAACTGGAAGTCATTTGTCCCAGACAAAACACACATTGTTAGGGGTCATGAACGGTGCGAGGCGCGCCCCTCTGTCACTGGTTTGCAATTAAAAAGACATTTCCTTAGGGATGTGTGTGTGTGTGTGTGTTTCAGAGGCAGAATTTTAGGAGAATTAAATATTTCAGACTTCTCCTTTCCTAAACCCATGAATTGTGTTAACTGACTTCTGAAACTAATCTAATCACAGCACTAATACAGACAATTTCAAGCTGCAGGTGCTACAATATTTCAGATACACTTTGGTATTTTTAATTGACAAATGTTGGTTTGTGGTAGGAAGTATCCCCAATACATCGTTTTGTTTACATTTGACTTTCATTCTCTTAAAATGAATGAAACACACAGAGACTCGTTACTTCATGCAGGGAAGCACATTTTTGGATCACAGTCATCGGATGAGATTGAATTATGTAAACTGTTATCCCAGCCCCTAAAGGGTTAAAAGGCGATGCACAGCATGAAACATTACAGAACATGTCCTTCACAAAAATAAAGAATATAGTTTACTGGTATACTCAATGATATGTTCAATTTTACCAAATGAATTATTCTGGTGTAGTTATTACTCCGTATAGTTTTGGCCCTCCCTGCAGATGACTTCCCGGCAGTGGGCTGATGATGTATTCAGCAGACTTCACTGAAGCTCCTCGGAGAATGTTTAACTTAATTCAGATAGTAAACATGATGTGAGCCAGCATCCTTGCACTCGTAAGCCTCGCAAGTTAGGACATCCAGACAGATCCTTCATGAAGCACTGAGTGCACCTATTAGCTTAACTTGAAAACAAAAAGGAATCCTCCTCCCAGGAATCCTATTTTATATCTATATAGCCATTAAAAAAAAACATTCACTTTATTTACAGTTTGCTTGGGAAAACATTTTCTTTTCCCTCTTAGGAGAAAAATTGCGACTCTCTGCCATGCCAATTCCAGCAGTCCCAGGCACGGGCTATAATCTAATTACATGCTTTATTTGCGGCAATTTGTTTTTCAATCAGTCTTGTTTTACAAGGAGAAAGCCCCCCCTCTGTGGACTCATTTACACCTCATTGTTCCAATGTGCAGGTCTCCGTCAGGGACTCTTTTCTGCAGGCCCTGAAAACGGACAAAGTGAGAGCAAAGCCGGGGCTGCAGGAAGGCTTCTGTAAGCTTTCAGTGAAACTGTGGATTTATTGTTCTTCTCTGGGGATATTTACACAGAGCGCTCCTACTTGCATGCATGCAAGTCTGCACAGTTCCCATATTCCCCCACCTCATAAGTGCTGACGTGGCGGGGGGTGGCCTAAAGTGTGATTCTCGCATCAGTTGTCAGAAGCGTACGCGCTGATCGCCAAACCTCCGCCGTGGTGCAAGCAGACTTTGATTTGGCCTTTCCCTTTGATGCACCCCGGATCTGTTGAAGGCACAGAACTTGTAACAGTGGACGGGGAAGCTGTAGCTTGTTGAACTGTTTGATCAGATCTACTTACTGCGCCCCACAGGAATCATCCTCTGTTCTGTTCGGAATTGGGGAGGGGCTCTGTGAGAACTGGCGGACGTGCCCGCTCCTCCACTGTATGGATGACACTGCCCTGCCACTCGCTCAAACTCTGTGCGCGCAGGAGAGGGATAGAGTCCTCGCTGGGGCTTTGGGAATTCCAGAGCTAGCGGCGCAGTGGTGCTGCTGGTGCCCAGCGGACCTGCTGCTGGGAGAGGAGAGCTATCAAAGTGGAGGGAGCAGCGTGATGGCTTCAAAGCGAGAGGGAAAAACAACACATTTCACTCCCCCCTTCCCTGCCCCCCTGCCCCCCAGCTCCTCATTTATATGGAAATGATGTGGAGCTGATATGGACTCCTCAATTTTATTTACTTTAGTTTGCTGCCGCTGTCCGGCGCTGATTTTGCGTTTACTAGTAGTGCTTTCTCTCCCTCCCTTTTTTCCTTTTTTTTCCCTCATTTTTTTCTCTTTCGGCCGTTTCCCCGGCAACCCCATTCACACGGACTATAAAAGAACAGAAAGGCCTGGTATGAACCTAGGGGTGGACAAAACAATGAAGTTTGTTCATATTCAGGCTGTCTGAAAGCTCCTCTCCCCGAGCCCCTCCTCCCCCCTACTCAAAAAGGCGTTATTACAAAGTGTTGGGGAGAACAAAAAAGGGAGGGGAGAACGGAGGGAGATTCTGGCTCCAGTTCGTGTCCGTCGGAGCAGGAGAGGAGGAAACAAATGATTTTAATTTTCTGTTTGGCCTCGTGTCGCATGTTTGCTGTTACAAAAGCTCTTTGGCGATGATGCAACGTGAAGGAGGGCAGCAGTGAAAAGGGCCTGGCACCTCCTTCGGGGAGGTTATCGCCAGGCAGCGTTGGTGGGATGATATCCATACGCGCAGCAATTCATCATGAATCTGCGAGGCTTTTGGCTCCACCGAAAGGTGGTCAGCCGGTGATCTGGAACAGACCCCTGGCAGCCTGCTAGAGGCCACAAAGCAATTTGGCTTGGCCGAAGTGAGGTATTTATTTGTTCACTCCAGCGCAGTGGACACCAAAAGGCTTTGCTTAATGCTTCATGGGCTACTAATTTCCTCCATGACCTCCTTTTGTGTTCAGGTGACCCTGTTCCCCTGCATCCCCTTGCATTGAATGCCGAAGTTTGACACAGGCTGGGGCTGGAGGGGGGGTTAAGGAGGGCTGAGGGGGTGGGGGCTGACATGGAGGGTTCTATAGGCCTTAATCAGGTCCCACAGTGGCACTTTGACAGCAGGGGGAAATTTGTGTGGCTTTCAGAAGACCTGGGTGGCACAATAACCAAGACCCAGAGGTCTCACATTAGAGGCAGAGGCGGCCAGCAGACAGCAAAAGTATTTACCAGGCAAGAGCCCTTTGTGAGAGCTTTTCTATAGGAATAGAGGCAGTCTTGAATGCCCCATAAGCCCTATTAGACAACACAATTGAACCTGGCAGATGGGTATCGTAAGAAGCAAAGGTATTCAGAACCATGTAGTTGGAGTATTCCCCCTTTTTTCTCTCCTTTTTCAAGTTTTAATGGAGACTAATGTGTGTTTTTTTCCTCTCTCCCTCTTGCTTCCTCTCGGTGCAGACTGTGACTCCTACTGCAAGGCTTCCAAAGGCAAACTGAAGATCAATATGAAGAAGTACTGCAAGAAAGACTATGGTGAGTAATTGGCTGCTCTCAAATCTCTAGAAACCTGGTGTCAGTTTCTGATCAGATGACGCCTTTAATGTCTTTATTTGTAAGTGCAACACAAGCTTCGCACAAGTCAAAAGGTTAGAATGACAAACCTGGAGACAGAAGGAGCTTGCAAGTCAAGTTGGGAACACAGACTCCTCTGGATAATCTCTCCCCCAGTCTGGAATGAAATTAAAGGAGGCAAATTGTGCTTTTAGGTATAAAGCTAAAGCATGAAATTCAGTGAGAAATGGCTCAGGAATTCAGTTGAGTGACAGCTCAGCAGGCAGTTTTTAAGTGGAAAGGGATTCACATCAAGATGATCTTGCAGACCACAGGACTTTAACAATTTTAGAAATCCCAATTAAGAGAAAACCCATGTTTCCCTTTGTGCCAGTACTGCTGCAATTAACCAACATGTCTCGTAATTAAAAAAGGCAATCTGGGCTGATTAAAGCCGCATTACTTAATGCTGTAAATGAGACCTGCCCTGCCTCTACATGCACCCCTGCTGATCACAGACTGCTCTGAGGAAAAGTCATGATTTGGTCATTTCTGTATGACTGCACACTCATCAATTTTGATAAAAGAAAAAAAACAACAAATCAGAAACACTTATACAAAGATGTCTGAAAAGCTTTTAACACCATACACAACCATAGCGTGTATGAAACAGAACTGCCTACAGGCTGACTTAGCCAGGATTTTATATGTGGGGTAGCAGAGGGGAGGTGGTATTTTTAAATGATATTATCTGCCTTCTTAAATAGGATATACTACTGAAAGGTGAACTACTGCTCTTCCCTGCACCAGTTACACTGGTGACCCCAGTTTTATACTGTGGGAGAGACGGAACAGTATTCACATTGGATACAACTCTTGAACACATCATGCGTGAGGAAGGACATTTGAACTCTGTTATTTCTCACCGCAATTTGTCATGTTTCGAGGGCTTCTTAAAGAGACTTTTAAATAAAGCACAATAAAAACTCGTCATTGTCAGTATAACATAAGGTCTCGGTGACAGTTCCTGTTCATTCCTTTTTAAATGAGTAAATAAGACTAAAGCATCATGAGTACAGCTATCCAAACTAAGCATCTCAATATCTGCGTCCATGTATCAGTACGCGTTCATTCCTGATGTTAAACCTGACCTTCTCACTGTCTCTTACGAACTGAACCGACAGTAGCTGCCTGCGCTCGGGCTGCGATGTCATCTGATCCGCGAGGCCAAACTCTCGTGCAGCTTTCACTGAGCATCATGTCAACGACCATCCACAGCGATCTGGCCCGTATTCCCCGAACCGACCGCTTCCAATACAGGCTACATGCACACTCTGGAAAAACCACCTTTAAGATGCGTAGTAGTTGTTTCCTCATTAACGTTTTCCTTCGCTGGCAAATTTAAGGCAATACCTACATCGGGGTGGCTGCTGGGGTGCCAAAGCCACATTTCGGGGTGGCTGCCCCCCTGCATACAGCCTGGCACTGCACTCACATGTGCTATCTGGTCAGAGCAGTACGAATCTTTTGCGCAGCCACGTTAAAGCCATTAAGGTGCAGGAAATCATTTATGTTCTAGCAGATCCACATGCCGTTCTTTTGCCTTTGAGTCTCACATAATCCCCAGTGAATCTGAAGCTGGGGACGCTGCGAGGTATGGAATATGTTCTCTAACTACTGTGGAATAGGGCCTTTTCAGGTCTTGTCTTGAAAGGATAGAAACCAGACTATTACCCTCCGATGGCTCTTTGCATGAAGGCATTATTTGCGTTTCAAATGGGGCGCTTGAATCCCTGCTGTCCAGCCAGACGAACACTGGCGCGTGCCCGTGTCTCCCGGTGGGCCGTGCGGAAAGGTGTGGGCCATTAAAAACGCCCGCCGGGGGAATCTAAAGGGTTTCGGGTCGGGCGAGCACGTGCGGACCCCGTCTCCCACTGTTCTTCACTCAAGTCGCGCTACAGGAAGCGGAGCAGCGGAGCTGTCCTCCGAGGAGCCGGCGGACCACTCTCGCACGGGGCCAGACCCCCGGGGGCTGGAGGCCGAAAGTGTGGCGGGAACACGAATGTTATTGCTGGCATGCGTGGACAGAGATGTTCAAAGCGTCTCCACATCTTGAGCTCGTTGCTGGTATTCCACAGTCATGAAGGCAGAAAAAGGTATGACTCGGGCCTGGGTGTGAGCCAGGATCCCGCTGGTGACTAGCACTTCCAGCACAATTCAACAAGACCTCAGTGAAAGCTGTGACTCATTTGATTTCTCCGCCCTCAGGGGGTGCATTGCTGGAACTTGGAAGCATCAGATGGCTGCACAAGAGCCCCTGCTGCTCCCTCTTACAGTCCTCCTCAATTACAAATTACAGGCAATTTCCTCTCTTCCCCAGACCCAAGGCTGGCTGAGCTCCCTCGCTGCCAGGGCTCATTCTAATCCACCGTTTTTTTCTTCTCCTCCAGACTGCAATCATCAGGAGGGCTTTGTCACTTACAGTGAAAGCCTGGCTTCAGATTCAATGGTAGGGGCTGAGACCCAGCTTGGGGAAGGTGGTTGTCTTCCCTGCCGAGGGAGGTCAGCGGACAGTCTTTGACTTATCAAATCCGCCCTGTTTGCAATGAATGAAATCCACAATGCCCTAATGTACTTTACCCTCATTAAGCAAGGGGAAGCTTCATGCTGGATTATGATTTAAGTAGCATCAGGACTGTTTTACACTGCAGGCAAATTGGGACGTGTAGCTTAAAAACTCGTAGGGTCTTTGCTAAAACTGAGAAGCAGGACATTTTTTTTTTCCTGGGCACATCTTTTTTTACTTTCTCAAATCAAACACAAAAGAACACATACTGTATAAATAGTGGGAGCTCGCGTACAAGAAATGAAAAGGGGGCTAAACAAAGATGGAAGCGATTGAAGGCTCTGTTCTTTTCCAAATGTTTTCAAGATTTCTCTTCATCAGGGGTTCTTGCATGTCTCTGATTTTTAATTAAAGACACGTTCACTCACAAGTTTCAATTTAGACATTTTGTGGGCATCCCAGAATTAACCTAACATACTGTGTGTGTCCATTTGATCCTGTAAATGGAGTGAGTTTCCTTAACTGTAAGACAAAAGACCCACATTAGTAAGGAAGGATAAAAGCAAAATGCCATTTGAGTTAGTACCTTTCATAATTTTGACTATTTTTGTTACAGCAGTCCTTTTTGTGCTAAAAACCAAAGTTTTGCCATAGCTTGTCTTTTTACAGCTACACATCAAATGTTAATGAGTTATGGATTTAACCCAACACATGTTTTCTTCACACAACAAAGCAAATTGTACCTTAAAGACAGGAGAACACTGTTAAAATTACCCAACTGTATCTTCAATGAGCTTGAGGAGGAAACCCCTAGCTTTAATTTAAAGTGAATTTCTTTTTCTTGGCTTAAGATTTCCATCTTTAACCACTTGTCATGAAAGGCACAAGGGTTTTCTGGAGCAGGTCAGAGGATTCTGTGTTTTTCTGTATCTAGAACATAGTGCCCCACGTCCTGTGCCTGGGCTACACTGTTGACAGTGCAAGAACAGCAAGGCAATAGGGGGCAAACATTTACCTGGTTGACGTCTACCACTGCGGAGCATAACACCATCCCTAATGCTCCAGAACTGTACCTCCGCCTGCAGGAGAGAGACAGATGCAATAGTAGCTCATAGAGCACATTCTAGTGGTGACACACAGAAATAACACCAGGGGGAAATTCCTTTCTTCTTAATGAGCCCCAGGCAAACAAAAGCTTATTAAGCCATTCTGCCTAGGACTTAAAGCCCCTTTAAGGCTGAGGAGTAAAGATACCGTGTCCTCTATTTATGCATTACTTTTGTACCCTGTGAATTAATTTTTATTGAGCTCCTGATCATCATTTGCTAAACCTCTGCAAAATGATCCAGTGTTAGCGCAGCAGATCCACCGGAGGCAGGCAGGTTTTATTATTTTAGGGGTACCAGACTTCAATCCCAATTTCGTAACCCAGCCTTGTTTCAGGGTGGGTCTGGCTAATCTATACCCGGTTCTCCTGGAAACAGTGCTTGATAAAGGCAGTCAAAGGAACTGGAGCTAATGAACACATTTGGCTCAATTTCAGTCAGCAGTAGGGAGCAGTTGCCACTGAAAGCTCAAGGCGGGAACAGTGATAATGTCTAACTGCCCCATGCTGCTCGGTAGATAACTTTCATACCTCCTCCCAGGAAAAAGGTTTCTTCCTCCTGGGACAGGCAGACCATTAATCATATAATATTACAGGCCGGCCTCTCCCATAAACATCCTCATTCAGCAGCTCAGTGTCTCCTAATCACATTACAAATCACCTTAAGTACTATAAATAATGGAAGCTGAATGTTGTGGATGTGTTAGTGTTTCCAGTACTTCCACGGAAGGTGCCGGCTGTGTAACGTGTCTCACATTACCGCCCGGCCAGGCCCTGCCAAGAGGCAGCTCCAGCTGATCCTCTCCCGGAGAACAAGAGAGAACGGCAGTCCTATGGGAACATTTTCTAGTTCCCTTTCACACTTCCCTTTCAAATGAGCATGTTCCAGGGAAAGGCCTACAACATCTCGGAATCTTGTCAGCCCCAGAGGCCAGACAGCCTCAAAGCATCTTTTTTTTTTGCAGAATTATTTTTCACATCCGAAGTCCCTGAGTGAGGATCAACTCTTGCCCATGACATCAGGCTTTTTTTTTTGTTTCGGAATTTGCAGAAGCACTACACGGATTGTTTGCTCAGAATATTATTAGATACAAACGATCAGAAATAGGATTTTAAATAGTTTGAAATGGTATAATGAAGACATAATAATCTGCCTTTTTTTCGGACTGCCTTCTTTCTGGCAGTATTGGTAGGGCTGGTATTTGGCCTACGTGTAGGTTTTCTTGATGGGTTCACTTTTCTAAAAGTTTATTTCAGTAGTAAAATCTCAAAGGGTCAAGGTCTGACCACTGCACCTCTTGTAGTGAGAAT